TTTACCAATGAGGTTTCTTTTGTTATAAGAGAAACTGACTCTGGTCAACGGAAGCAACATTGATGAGATAGATGTCCAAATTATGAAGTTAGAAAAATCAGATTAAAAGTGATGGAAGGGCGCCTGGGTGGCTCAGAGGGTTACGCTTCTGTACCTTCTGCTCAGGTCATGATCCCAGGGTCCTGGGATTGAGCCTCCATCAGTCTCTCTGCTCAGCAGGGAGCCTGCTTCCCCCACTTTCTGCCTGCCTCTCTGCCTACTTGTGATCTTTCTCTCTCTGTGTAAAATAAATAAATAAAATCTTAGAAAAAAAAGGTGAATGGAAGAAGGGAGATCAAGATAAAGAGCAGAAATTCGTGAAGTTGAAAACAAAAATAATGAATGAATAAATTAAATCTTTGAAGACCAAGCAAAGAAAAAAACAGTGCAAACAAAATTAAGAATGAGAAGTTAGAATTGATGGAGATTAAAGAGATAATAAGAGAATATGAAGAATTTTGTTTCACTAAAGTTGAAAACTTATACAACATGGATAATTTATCATACTGACCCAGAAAGAGGAAGAAAGGCTCTATAAATGTAATGACCCATATGGTTACTATTACATGTGACTTTTGACACTTGAAACATGGCTAGTGTAACCAAGAGGTTAAATTTATATTTTATCTATTTTTTAAAAAAGATTTTATTTATTTGAGAATGAGAGAGCATGAGTGGCAGGGAGGAGCAAAGGGAAAGGGACTAGCAGACTCCATGCTGAGTGTGGAGCCCAACTCAGGATTTAATCCCATGACTCTGCAATCATAACCTGAGCTGAGATCCCTGGGTGGCTTAGTGAGTTAAGCCTCTTCCTTGGGCCCAGGTCATGATCTCAGGGTCCTGGGATGGAGCCCCACATTGGGCTTTCTGCTCATCAGGGAGCCTGCTCCCTGCCCTCCCCTCCCCATCCCCACCCCCGCCTCTCTGCCTACTTGTGATCTCTGTCTGTCACATTAAAAAAAAATCTTTAAAAATTAAATTTAAAAATTAAAAAAAGTCATGATCTGAGCTGAAATCATAATTTGACTACTCAACTGACTGAGCCACCAGGTGCCTCAATTTTATCTAATTAAAAAAAATTATCTAATTTTTAAAAAAGATTTTATTTATTTGTCAGACTGAGAGAGAGAGAGCATAAGCAGGCAGAGTGGCAGGCAGAGGCAGAGAGAGAAGCAGGCTCCCCGCTGAGCAAGGAGCCGGATGCAGGACCCTGGGATCATGACCTGAGCTGAAGGCAGAGCTTAACCAACTGAGCCACCCAGGCATTCCAAAATTTTATTTAATTTTAAATAATTCAAATTTAAATTTAAAAACTGGGACAGCGTAAAAATATTTCTGTTAAACAAAGTTGACTCTTTTGCTAGGACTATATTTCACTTTATTACACCTTGTGAGATATTATCATATTTAGTGTGTGTAGGATGTGTGTTTATGTGCACATAAACACATCACTGATCTTATTGATATTTTTTCTGTATATATATGTATATATGTGTGTGTGTATGTGTGTGTGTGTGTATTCTTGTGTATTAAACATTTCTGTTTTCATTTCTAATAGGTAACTATGGATAAATACATCCCCAAAAAAGCCTTTTGTGGTCTTTAATGATTATAAGAATATAAAGAGTTTGAAAACTCCTGAACTAGGACATAGAGAAGACAAAGTAGAATGTTGTTATGGTATTGGGAACTAGTAGTATTCATTGGAACATTTTAAAATGAGGAATGACTTTGGACATTTTTAATTGGCTTTAACTTAAAAAAAAAATCCATCTTCTTTCCCAATAATTCTCTTTCATCAAGGTCCTCATATTGCAATACCTCAGTTGATCTATTTTACTGGATCTTGGGACTAGAGGACTCTAATATTCAGGTTCTTCTCTTTTTTTTTCTCTATTTTTTCTCTATTTTTACTCTCTTTCACATCCAGATCGGTCTATTCTGTGTTCAGTTTCCCAGGGCCCTGGTATTAGTGGAATATAAGAATTAATGAGGTAGCTTTCACAGGAAATCATTTGCCTTTTTGAAAAAGATTTTGTAAGTAATCTCTCCACCTAACATGGGGCTCAGGCCTACAACCCCGAGATCAAGAGTCAAATGCTCCACCAACTGAGCCAGCTAGGTGCCCCTTAATTTGCATTTTTTAACGGATGACTTTTGAAGACACAGTCTTCATTCAGCAGAGTTATTATTTTGGTCAGAGGAATGAGGAGGGTGGAGTAGGTGGAAATCCACCATGAATAGTCTGAGAATCCTACAGACTGAGCCATGGACTCTACAGGGTTAATACTTAAGTTTCCCTGGAATGACAGCAGCAAAAGGCAATTTCCACTGCAGCTACAGTACCCTGGGGACTGTCCAACTCAGATGCTGCTCCGTATCCTCCTCTGCCCTGATGAACCTAACATTTCCAGTGGCTAGTGGTGTGGCTGGTCACTGACCCGGATTCTAGTTTTATAGCCTCTGATAATTATCCACAATTTCTCTGAGGTAAGAGGTGGCCTTTTGAAAACACAAGGCTCATGGACACAGATTTTTATTTCATTTATTTAAATTTAAGATGCTTAAGGGACATTCCTTTGCAATGGCTTATTTTCAACTCCACTCTTCTCTTTTTCAAATTTAAATGGTAGTATCCTCTTTCTCTCTTAAAATAGGCTTCACTTTTTAGAGCAATTTTAAATCCACAGCAAAATCAAAGAAAGTACAGAGAGTTCCTGTATACATTCTGTACCCATGAGCACACACAGCCTCCCCCACTAGAAATAGCCCAAACAACAGGGGTACATTTGTTACCACTGATGAACCTATATTAACATCATAATCATCCAAAGTCTTTATATCAGCATTTACTCTTGTTTGTACATTGGACATGAATCCACCATTATAGTATTGTACAGAACAGTTTTACTGCCCTAAAAAATCATCTGTGCTCTGCCTTTTCATCCCTCTGCCTCCCCAACCCCTGACAATCAATATTTTTACTCTCTTCATAGCTTTGCCTTTTCCAGAATGTTATATAGTTGGAATCATACAGTATGTAGCCTTTTCAGAGAGGTATCCTCTTTTATGATTTCTTTTCTTTCTTCTAGACTGCTCATACTGGCCTCAGAAACAGATGGTGGTTGATAAATAAAATGAAAAAGCAAGCTACAAAGTATAGCCTGGGGAACTCTTGCATCAGCATCACATAGAGTGATAAAGCCCTGAGGTAGGGAAGAAAAGAGAGCACTGTGGCTAGAGAACAGTGTTTAGGCGGTGGCAGGCAAGCCTTAGAAAGAGAATCAGGGCCTACAGTCTGTGCTGGGCTTTGCAGGTCAGGCTAAGGCTTTGGAGTTTCCTTGGAAGTGCAATAGGAAACTATTTGGAGGGTTTTGAGTAGAGTAACCTGATCTCATTTACATTTAAAAAAATGACACTCTGAGAGGGAGAAATGACTGTAGGTGGATGCAAGGAACAGTCCCTCTCCCCAGTTAGGGAGCTATTACAGTAGCTGGGGCAAGAGATTGATGGTTCTTTGGTCTAGAGTAATAGTAATGTTGATGGAGAGAAGCATAGAAATTGAAGATATATGAAGATAGAATAGCTCAAATTTGTTGATTTATTAAGTAGGGTATAGGAGGCAAAGTGAGACACACACACACACACACACACACACACACTAAGACAGAAGAAATCCAATTTGCTGGTTTCAAGAACTGGCAGATTTGCCGTAAAGATTGAGATGGAGAAGGAACAACCGTGTGTGTATGTAATGGATTGGGGACACAGAAGAAGGAGTGTGGCATATGTAAAAATGTTTTACACATTACAATTTCCTCCAACATTTTGTACTGAACATATTCGAAGAGCAAACTGGAAAATAATTTTATGAGTACCTATTTACAACATCTACAACTACCATCTTAATATACTTCTATCCATTTATCCATGCCATCAGCTCATTTTACTTTTGTAATACGTTTCAGTTGCAGACATCAATGGGCTTCCCTCTGCATACTTCAGCATACATGTCATTTATTTCCAGCTTTTTTCTTTTGATGTAAAATTTATACACAAGGTTGGGGCGCCTGGGTGGCTCAGTGGGTTAAGCCGCTGCCTTCGGCTCAGGTCATGATCTCCGGGTCCTGGGATTGAGTCCCGGCATCGGCCTCTCTGCTTAGCAGGGAGCCTGCTTCCCTCTCTTTCTCTCTCTGCCTGCCTCTCTGTCTACTGTGATCTTTCTCTGTCAAATAAATAAAATTAAAAAAAAATTTATACACAAGGTGAAGCGCACAAATCTTACGTGTGCATTCACTGAGTGTTAACACATGTACACCCCTGACTACACCTTTAAGATGTTTAAGGGACATCAAGAGGGCATAATCAAACGGGATGCCAAGAGTGGGAATCTAGAGCTCAGAGAAGTCTCAGTTTGAAATTCAAATCTGGCAAGGCTCCGAACACAGGTCTATTTAAGCTATGGGATTGGATGAAATAACCCAAAGGGTGTAGACTGAAGAGAAATGGGTTCTACCCGCAAAGTGTCCAGCGTTTAACGGTCTGTTGGGAGCCGGGAAGGACGTGGGGGGAGCGCGCGACCTGTGGGAAGGTCGGGTTGGCCCAGTCCGGGGTCTCGAAAGGTCGGTCTGTTTGGCGCCTCTGGGCGGTCCTTGGTAACCACCGAGGTGACCTGAGGTGTCAAGGGAGGGGGGGAATGAGGAGGGGGACATGGAGGGGACTCCCAGTCCGAGACCGGAGGTCGGCCTGGAGGGGAAGGAGGAGGGGAAAGAGGAAAAGGGATCTGGGGAGGAGGGAATGGGGAAGGGGGCCAAAGGAATGTAGACGAGAACCCAGAAGCCAAGGGAAAGGGAGAGGTGGCGGCGGCGAGGGGGCGGAGTCGCCGCAGCGGCCGGCGGAGGGGCGGGCGAAGGGAGGGGGTGTGTGCGCGGGTCACATGGTCGCAGCTGCCCTCCCCGTCAGCCGCCCTCTCCGCCGCGGTGCGCTGGCTGCAGGAAGCCGCCGCGCCGCCGCTTTTGTTGTCAGGGACTTCGCGAGGAGCGCCGCTCGCCGGCCGCCGCCGCCCTCTCTCAGTGCAGCCCGCTCTCTGGCCGCGGGGCCCGGATCCCGGGCGCCCCGCCCGCCCTGCCCATGAGGGGGCCACGCGACCACCGCTGCCTCCAGCCCGGGGCGGCGCGGCGCTGAGGCGGAGGCGGCGCTGCCACCTCTGCGGGAAGCGGGCAGCCTTGGTTCCCTCCCGGAGGGCACCATGGAGGTGAATGCGGGTAAGAGCCGGACTGCGGAGGGTGGGGGCACGGCGGAGGGGCGCTCGGATCCCGCTGGGGCACTTCGGCGGGCGGCGGCGGGGCTAACCCTAGGGCTGGTGGGGTGGGCTGCCGTGCGGTGCGTATCGACTCGGGCTCGGTCCCCGCGTCTATCCCCGGGCCGCTCCACGGCCGCCCTCCCGGCTCCCTGCAACGCCGCAGCGCGGCCCGGCGGCGCCGGCCCGGCCCCCCCCTCACATGGCCGGGCCGCGCGAGCCACGTGCGCGCTGTGTTTACGTTCGGCGGCGCGCGGGCGCCGGTTGGCTGGGCGGGCTCGTGACGCGGCATTACATAATGGGCGCTGAGGCGGCGGTGGCGGGCGGGGACACGTGAGGCCGCTCGGCTCGGTGACCCACATTCCCCGGGGCCGCAGGGACACGTGGGGGCGGGTGCGCGCGCGCGCCGGCGGGGAGCGCCGCAGCCTTCCGGGAGGCCCCGCCCCTTTGGAACCCTCCGGGCTGTGACGTGGCCGCGATTCCCTCCTCCCCCGCGGGGTTGCACACTGCGGAGGAGGCCGCGCGTGCGCGTGCGGTGAATCCCGCGCCCGGGCGGTCCCGCGGCGGGCGCCGCAGTGCACCCGCTGCTACCCTAGCGTCAGGAGACTGGGCTAGGCAGACTGCACTGGCCGCAGATTTTGGGGCTACCAAGGAAGAAGTGTGGGGCCAGAACGCGCCACAGGCGGAGAGAGGTTTCTTTGCGGGGAAGACTCGGTGCTTCCCCAAAGCGAGACCCCTCGGAGTTCTGAGGTGCTTAGATCGTGAGCAATGTCTGGTAGCTAGGACGGCACCCGCCTTTGTTATGATGCTGCTTCAGTATTTCCTGGAAAAATGGTTGCTCTAGGACGTGACCTTACACACCTTCAGTCATAAAAAAGGCTCGAAAATCTCCTTGGGCTGGGAGCCTGTAGGTCACACAGATAGCTAATCATTCATCTCACGTAGGGTCGGGATGACTCAGGTGATCCTAAGTGACCCCGGAACTTTAGGACGGACTGGTCATTGTTTATTTAAGCTGATTTTTAAAAACCCATTGGTTGTCGACCTTTCTTGAACCTGATCAACAGAATTCGGCTTTATCAATATTTTTCTGGTTAGGTTTCCTGTTACAGCGTCACAGAACAATACTGTACTCCCTTCTCGCCTTTTGTCTGCCCTCATTGATGTCTTTACACCTGAGGCCAGTGAAGTTAAAGAGGAAGCCAGTTTGTGATGAGCTCTGGGTGTTACACGCAAGTGATAAATTATTGAACACTACATCTTAAACTAATGATGTGCTGTATATTGGCTAATTGAATTTGAATTAAAAAAGCCAGTTTATATTTTCTAAGTTTTAAGTAAATATTTTTATATGTATACACAGTTTTAAAAAAACCATACCTTGAAAACAAGTTTGTGTTTTTCACCAATAGTAGAAATAAAGACAATTTTCTGTGTTTTAATTGCCTCTGGGTCTGTTTAGCCTTTGAGGGTGTTTTTTAAAAATTGGGTAATCTGTCAGGGAATTAAACTTTTGCTTGATAAGCATTTAGAGATTATTAGGTTCAACCTCTTCAACCCAGCTTTCAGCATGAATGAATTCTTCCAGATTTCTAGCCTTGTAAGGTGGGCTAGCTCAGGAGGCTAGAAAGTTTTCATCTGGTTTGAACCTTCCTGGAACAGTATCACTGATTTTAATCTTGCCTTTTGGAGCTATAGATAATAAAACTTCCTTTGGATAACTGTTGAACACATCACCCCAGTTCTTCCATTTTCAGTTCTTATTACTTGGTCCTTGCAGTGTTGTTTTGATCATCATCCATGTTGCCCTTTGGGCTGTAGCCCCCAGAGGTGAACAAGCTCCTGTGGAAATGGTTGGACAGTTACCAAGTTCCAAGTTTTGGATTCTGCTGCAAATGAATTCTCTGGCAGGCTGTGCTTTTGTGGCTTATTGGCTTTGCTGACTCATAGTAACCTTGCAATCAACTAGGACTTTTTATGTGAACTATTTTGAAGCTAGGTTTCATCCATTGTGCAGATAATTGTTTGCTGTAAAGTGTACGAATTAGCAGTTTTCTTAAAATTTCTCTTGTTCCTTTTGGCTCCATTTTCAACTTGTTCTAAGCTGTTATCCAGTACATTTGACAATTTCTGCCATCTATCTGTTGGAGTGTTGGTAAGCATTCCCTGTAATTTCCTTCAAATTGGCCCTGAGGGTGGGGCCAAATTCAGTCTGTGTGGCACACCTCTGACCCATCCCTTTGGTTGATATCATTGTATCAGTACAGTGCATTCAGCCAATGACCATTTCCTCTGTCATGACATATTGTATCTTTACATATCCATGACTAATGCAGATGTGAAATAGTGAAGTGGCAGAAATCGACTGTATACGTTTCTGTCGCAGATTTTGGTTGAATATACCAGGTTCTTTAAAGTAAGTGATAACTCACGGCACAAACTTCATAACCATAGCTGTAATTCACATTTTTAAAAATCGGAAAAACATTCCCACATAGTTCATTCTTGTTTTTACAAAACTGTATTTCTAACTTGAAAAAAAAAATGTCAGAGAGCAGTAACTGCAAAGAAGTCAGTTGTAGAGAGAAGAGAGAAACAGCAAGATCATGGGAAGACTTAGAAGTGAAGTAGCAAGTTGCTTGACTAGTGAAGGGAGTTAAGATACTCAGAAGATGGTATGGAAATAACCTCCAGGGAAACCACTGGGTCCATATTACACACTCAAAATTAAAGGAAAGAAGAAAGGATAAGGAGGATTAATTTTGTTTGAACTCTTCTAATTGAACTCCTAAGTATGATGGTAAAATAATAATCACCCTTATTGGTTGAGTACTTACTATGTGCTGGGCCCTTCACATGTGTCACTACTTTGATACCACAGCTTAATTCTGTGAAGGCGGGTACTGTTACCATTTGAAGATGAAGAGCTAAGTAGATTGAAGTTAATTAACTTATTCAAGCAAGTGTTGGAGCCAGATTTTGAATCCACAAAGTCCACTTGGGGATCATAAGCTACTATGCTGTATTAGGTCTAAGCCCACATAACATTTGATAGCATGTGCACATCTGGGTGGTCTTGTCTTCTTGGGGGTAAAGGAAATAACTATGTGGATTCACTTGATTTGCAGTGGTATAGGGTCATAGCTGACAGAAAAGGGTGGGTGTCAGTAAAGCCTCCTAATCTTGTCATTCCTCTCTTTTAGTCTTGTTGCTAGTCAAACTTTCTCCCGCAGATGTTAGATTACACTTGTGTGTTCCCGATCTCCTACTTCCCGTGGTAATTTACATGGAGACAAAAAAACACTATTTTACAAAATAAGACCGGTTTGTTTTGTCATCCCATTTTTTATTTATTTTCTTAATTCTCTTATGTGGTATATCACTAAATGATTGGTATGTTCTTCAAGACCCCATTTACCATCATCTTGGCTGTGTTTGCCCCTTTTGATCTTTGCCCTCCAGAGTGCTCTTGTGTCATCCTCAGCAATTCACAGTAATTCATATGAAACAGTGCTCACAATGCAGGGGAGTGAATGGTTAACACAGCTGTTTCCTCAGTTGGTCTCTAAGGCTTTTTAGGGAAAGGACCATGTTCTCTAGAGCCCTGACATTCAGGACACAGTTGGAAGGTTACATCTATTCTACTATCCTGTGAGTAGAAATTATTAGTAACCTACTTTTAAAATGAGAAGACTAAAGCTTCTTGATGGTAAATCTGTTTCATTCTAAGTCACAAGGCACAGTCATGAGTTGAAATCAAGCATACTTTCCAGGATGGTGGGCAGCGGGAGTGAGAAGGTTTTGGTGATGGGCAAGCCTAGAGTTGGGGTAAGAAAACCCAATATATGCTGAACAGTAAGTGCTTCCCAGCAGTATAAAATTAGATATTGACTTCTGGCTTGTCTGAAGTTGACCACTGGGTAAGCCCTTGCCTGGGAACCTGGCCCAGCTCCAGGGATTTTTTTTTTTTCCAACTAAAAATAGAGAAGACTGCTTCAGCTAATTTTAGCTTGAGACATCTAAGAAGTACATTCTGCCTGTTTCTGGAAGTGTTGGGACTTGCTGGTTCGGGAATTTTACCTTTCTTGCTTTATCATTGAAAACCATGTATGTAAAAAACACTTTAATAATCCCCTTTTATGAACACCACTTCATTTCAATCTTATGATAACTCTGGCAGATATTCCCATTTTATAGAAGGTGACTCGGTTTTAGAGAGATTGAAAGTGACTTGTTGCCCAGGTCTTCACAGTAAGAGATAATAGTCTATATTTTGGCCTTGGCCTTCAACCCTGGCCCTGCCACTTAAACCTCTCTGAGCTCTGAGTTCCTCTTGCGAAAAATGGGATAATGGAAGTAAATGCTTGTGAGGTCAAAATGGGATATGGAGTTGTGTCACTTTGTTCTTGGTATTCAGTAGGTACTTGAGGACTTGTAGTTTTCACTTCCCTTTCTTCAGTGGGTTGAGGAACTATTAGATGTACTTCTTTCTAGGAAATTAAAATGTAAACCGTTTGGGTCACTAACCTTCAGGTCAGTAGATTGGTGTCTGGTAGCAAGAGTGGCTGCTAAGACAACTAAATCAGTGTTGAAGGTCTTGCTAGGAGAATGTAGCTGCTTCTAGGTGGGTCATTTTTGATACCATGGTTCCTGGCACAAATGCTTGCCGAAAAGTTTGTTAAGTTCTGTAAAGGTAGGAATTGGATATTAACTGGATTGATAGTAGCTCAGTAATTTTTCTTTGGTTTGATTTTGGAGGTTTTGAAAGGAAGGTGCTTTTGGGTAGTTAATAACAATGCCTTCCATTGGCCAGTTGATGTTTTAAAACAGTTATTAAGCTATTGGGATAGCTCTGATTTCTGCAAGTTTATTTCTAAGGTGAGGTAGTCAGAAGACCTTGTAAACACAAATGGCTCTCTCAAACGCTGGCCCTAAGAAAACCATACTTTACGGAAAACCATCACTTCTCATCTTTTACTATCTTGAGATGTAAGGAAGTGAATTTACCACCTAACGTGGTAGTACTTTAGGTAAGATAAATAGCTGTGAGATGTTCCTTTCGGAGTTTATCAAAGACAAAGGATAATATTTTCCTTTGCATTCTATTCTGAGTGTGTAGACACGTGAAAAAAGTAGCAGTTTGCTAACACCTGGAATTTCTGTTGTGAACTTCAGATCTCTAAAATTTTATGAAAACAGATGGCACAGTGGTTTTACCTGATAACATGACATTTGCTAGCCTTCCAAATTAGAATTTTTATCTCTGGATTCACAGTATATTAAGGGTATTCAGGCAGTTATGTCAATGAAAACATCAACTTTTAAAATTATGAACCAGTTTGTGCTTTAATTCAGTGATTGTAGCTATTCTTAAACTTCAGTATGCAAAGAATTGCCTGGGGAACTTGTTAAAAATTATTCCTACTAAGGGGCCTTCTCTAGTCTGGGCAGAGCCTTGAAAACATGTACTTTGAAAAAGTACCAGGTGGTTCTTATGATACATATTTTACATAATTTCTCTGGATGATGAGAATAAACTCAGACTTAGGAAATTTTTCCTCCTTGTGTTTGGAGTTTTAGGAGCTTTCAAAATCAGCAGTAGATGACATTTCTATTATCAAAATTACCCTTGGTCACTGGGGTGCCTGGGTGGCCCCATCGGTTGAGCATCTACCTTCGGCTTAGGTCATGATCCCAGAGTCCTGTGATCAAGCCCAGCATCTGGCTCCCTTCTCAGAGGGAGCCTGCTTATTCCTCTCCCTCTGGTCACCTCCCTCCCTCCCCCCCCCACCCCCCAATGCTCTCTCTGTTTCTGTCTCTCTCAAATAAATAATTAAAATCTTAAAAACATTACCCTTGGTCGCATTTTCTTCCATTGAACACAGATAAAGACATTGGCTTGTGACAGTCCCGGTTTTATTGTGTAATTATTGTATATCAGTTTCACCAAGAGGTTGATAAAAGTTTCTGATTCAGTAGATCTGGAGTGGGGCTTGAGAATTTTAGATTTCTAACAGATTTGCAGGTGATGCTGAAGCTCTTGATCTAGGGACCACACTTTGAGAATGACTGGTTTATAGGTGGGGAGCACACAGGTCTAATATTAATCATGAAGCTCTGGCTTCGCTTTGGGAAGATGATAAGCACATGCCAAGAGAACATTTGGGAAGTGGGTTAGTCTAGAAAGACAGAGTCACACCTCCAACTTCAATGCTAATAGCAGGTGTATGCTTAATGAAGGGAAAAGTGGATGGAATTCTCCACATTGTATTTTTTGTCTTCAAATTCAGGTACATTTAGTTGCATTTATGCATATTTGTGTATGATGAATACTGTTGTATTTTTCTTGACATGGTAGTGCTGTTTTAACTTCGATTTTAGGTTGTGACCAAAAATCCCTGAGAGTTACGGTTTCACTTTACTTCTCAGGAACTTCCCATCCTCCATATGTATAATTGGTACTTAAATATGTGTCTGGTACCTTATTTCAACCCAACAGACTAAAAGTGACCTAAAATTCCTCTGCCCATTTTTTTTTCCTTCTGTGTAAGTGTAAGTGTCTTTCTGTTCTTTGGAATTGTTTTGGCCTTAGCATTTTGCTGTGTGTGTGTGTTTGTTGACTTATAAAGTGTGGGAAGTGTGGCTTTTATCTAAAAAAAGATTGGGGAATCATTTCTCAATAGCAGAGAAGTTTATTTCAGAGTGAATGCTTAAATTGCAGTTATCACTTAGGGAATGTGGAGAACTCTTCACTTACTACTCTGTATAGTTACCCAGATTGTTTTCAGAAATGCCCTGTTTTGTGACTTCCTAGTAATGTTTTATGATATTTGGGATGTGTCTGTGTAATTAAATGTGGGCTTCACAAAGGCAGGGAAGTAGGTCTTAAAAATATTTATGGCAGGCTTATTACTTGTAAAGCATGTATAGAAAATTAGGAGACACTGTGCACTTAGGTGCTTATAGTCTAGTGAGAAAGAGATGGAAACAGGTAAATAGTAGATTTAAACAAGAGCTCAGGAGAGTGACGGAGATAATTTTACTTTTGTATTTGGTGCACATTGAAAAGGCCCATAAATGTTTGTTGATGATAGAAAAAAGAGGAAAAGAAACCACAGTAGATCTTGGCAGAAAAGTTGAGAGTTAGTTGTTTGGCCTGGGATTTGGAAAAATAATATATTTGGCTATGGGATAACTCTTGCAGCATTTTATGTCTTCGAGGGAAGATGTTTGAAATTATATTCTTTTAAATACTATTTCTTAACCTGGGAGGTTTATAGTCTCTTAAAGAGGCCAAGACCAGTTTTCACCAGGGTTGTGGAGGTTATATTGGTGAGGTCCTGAGTAGTGTTTTAAGAGTAGCTCTATGGAGAAAGAACTAGTGTCAGCCTTAATGTTATTCTCTTAGAGCATGCATTCTTTCAGCCTCTTTTAACATTTACTGTAAATAGCAAGTCAGAGAACAGGTGGTGAGTCTGGATTCTTTAAGAGCTGTTTATGGGTAAGTGTGTCTGCAAGGCCAGTGCAGAAGTGGGTGGAGAGGGGGAAGTGTAGAACTGGTTATTAGTGGATAGTCATAGAAGTTTTCAGGGATCTTTCAGGAAAGATTTGGGGAGCAGCTGCTATGAAAGGTTCCCCATTTGGACATAAATTATCTGGAGTTCCAAATGTTACATCTGTTCCTGGTTAACCTATGTTTTAGCCAAGTGCTGGTGGAGGCAAACGAACTAATTGTTTTCTAGGATTGTGTCACTGTAATGAAGGAGGCAGAGAGAGGACCAGAAGCAGACTTCTTCATGGCAAAAACACTTTGCTTACTCTGAGCTCTGTAGTCAGTCAGGAAAGTTTCTCATTCCTTTTAGGTAAAAAAAACAAACAACCCCCCCCCCCAAAAAAAAAAAAAACCTAGGGAAGGAAAAGCTTTAGGTTTGGATCTTTGTATGCTCAGAATAATAAAGCCAGTGAGAACCTTCTTATTTTTTGAATCAGTGGAAATGATCTATGCTTTGAACCTTGTGGAAGCAGGAAGAATAGGAAATAAGGAAATAAATTATTTTCTCCTTTTAGGGTAAGTGGATATTTAGTCAGCAACCTGTTTCTAAAGTTAGTGACTTTACTCTTAAGATTTGGAAAAATAGAAAACATATATTGGCATGTATCTAATTATGTGAATTCTCCCTTTTTCTAGGAGGTGTGATCGCCTATATCAGTTCTTCCAGCTCAGCCTCTAGTCCTGCCTCTTGTCACAGTGAGGGTTCTGAGAACAGTTTCCAGTCCTCTTCCTCCTCTGTTCCGTCTTCTCCAAATAGCTCAAATTCTGATAACAATGGTAATCCCAAAAATGGTGATCTCTCCAATATTGAAGGCATCCTGAAGAATGATCGAATAGATTGTTCTATGAAAACAAGCAAATCGAGTGCACCTGGGATGACAAAGAGTCATAGTGGAGTGACGAGTAAGTTACTTTAATTTTCAAAGGTTGGTGCCATTAATTGCAGGTGGGGTTTATTTTATCAGTTTTTCATTTGGGTGTTATTTCACCCAATTTTGGGTAATCATAGTTTAGTAGTTAGGTAAGAAATCAGCAATGATTTTAAAAGTTACAGCCTGGGGGTTGTCAGATTGGTTCTTGCCACAGAGCAAGAAATGTGACCTGCACTGTGCCTGACCGTGTTTCCTCTAGGGTATTCCCTGCTACCACATTTTCACAGTTGCCTTTCTTCTGAACTCTGGGTACTGAATCTGGTTTCTAGAACAGAGTACTTGTTATGGGAAGGGGTTTGCTTTCATGAAGTTGGAGCTAGGAACATTGGGGATTAGAAAACAAAGCAGCATTGGGTTAACTAAATGAGTGGTGGAATTTGGACCCCTAAGTGAATGTGGAGGTAAGATGGGCTGATACAGGGGAGGAATGGTGCCTGTTAGGTGAATTGAATTGTGTATCGTATAGCAGCCTGTGGAGACATGTGTTCACACCTCTGTTAATTGACTCTTCTGTCTGAGGAGAACTGTTTTTAATTCTGGTTGCATATATATGGTGTAAACTAACTCTAGATTCATAGAATTTCAGTGTATGTTTAAAATCATCAGGCTCTCAGAGATATTTTTGGCAGTCCCATAAACTGTGTTTAAAAGAAAATTAAGATTTCTTTGGATTTGTTAATTTGGTGTAAAGATTTTTCTTTTGCATTGTTAAAGTAGATTGATATCTTTGGAAAGTACTTACAAGTTGAATAAAATAAATTGGAATCAGTTGGAAAGAAAACAAACAGTTGAAGTTTTTCTTCCAGCTTTATACTTTTGTGTCTGTTTGTGTCTTAGAATTTAGTGGCATGGTTCTACTGTGTAAAGTCTGTGGGGATGTGGCATCAGGATTCCACTATGGAGTTCATGCTTGTGAAGGCTGTAAGGTAAGCTACTGGTTCTGGGATTAAAGAAATTGGAGTTAGCCTTGGCCAGTTTCCATAATTGATAACCTGGGAGGATGAGAGAAGTTAGCAGCTACTCTTAAAGTTTTAAATATTTTATGTAGTATATAAATGTAACTTGTTTTGAAAATGTATTTTTAATTCAGTGAAAATATTTTTTTTCTTTAAGATTTTGATCAAAATAAATTTGCTATCTTGCTCAAACTTAATTATGGTATGAAACCAAGTGCACAGATACTTATTCATTAATGCATCAGGCACTATTCCAGGTAGTGGGGAAATAGCAGGGAGCAAAACAGACAAGGCACTGCTGCCCTGTTGGCTTAGTTTAAACCAAACTTTGAATAGGTCTCCTCAGATATGTTGACATTCTGATATATCAGGTATTAGGAGTTGGGAATAATTCCCACATACTTGTAAAAATGTAGATCTTCAGAAGTAATGCCAAATGAGTAAAAGAATCTTGAATATAAGTTGAACACTTGAGAAACCTCATTTTATTTTTAAGGTTCGTTGACTGTTTCTTGGGTGGGGGTCGGCTAATTCCAAGTGAGATAGTCTATACCTCCTACTTACATCCAGGGAATCTCTCTCTCTTTAAAAAATCTGACACAACTATTTCTCCTGAGCATCAGAAATTAATATCGTCAAGACATTTGCTCTTGCTGTTTTCTGACTGAAAGCCAGTTGTAGGAATCTGGTTTGGCAAGATAAGATGGGTGAGCAAGATGAAGAATATACATGATGGAAGAAGAAATATTTTCTAGGGTAGCCCTGAATAAATTGTGAGTTTTGTAGCTCTTAATGGCTGGGTCACTTCACAAGACTAGTCAGTATTTAATACAGAACTAGTACTTTTCTACTGTTGAAAAAATTCCTTATATACTGTTTACTCTTTCTTTTCTTTTCTTTCTTTCTTTTTTTTTTTAATAAAAATGTGAAGTAATTGTAGAGCAGGCATCATTTTCACTGTTTTGCTAAAGAAACAAAAGCACAAGCAAAGGATCCTAATTGTGTTTCCTTGATAAATACACCTAATTGTTCTATAGCCTCTTAGAGATGTGTCTAGTTCAGATATTTTAGTGTCCACATATAACATTGCAATAATAAAATTTTAAAATGTTGTATTTCAAAATTATACAGATTCTTGAAATGTGTGGTTAGTTATGATATTAAAGGAAACTGCAACTTGAAAGTTTGGTAGCTGTGTTCTTGATTTCTGTGTTCTTCCTGAGACCGTGGAGCTGGAGCTCTTTGAAGACCCATCACAGAACATACTCTTTTTTTTTTTTTTAAAGGATTTTATTTACTTATTTGACAGAGAGAGAGACACCACAAGTAGGCAGAGAGGCAGGCAGAGAGAGAGGGGGAAGCTCAGGCTCCCTGCTGAGCAGAGAGTCCGATGCGGAGCTCGATCCCAGGACCCTGAGATCGTGACCTGAGCCAAAGGCAGAGGCTTAACCCACTGAGCCACCCAGGCGCCCCCCAGAACATATTCTTAAATTGTTAGTGTAGTAAAGGCAGTTATTTGTAGCCATCTAGCTGGGAACTGTCTTTTCTTGGATCACTAGCAGCTCTGTGGGTGTGTGGTGTCACATGTACCTGTTGCTTACAAGTAGCCAGGAACATCTGGCACATGCAAATAGACCTTGCTGGTATTAGGAAAGACCAAGGAAAGACCAAGCTCTTCTGATGGATTCCTGGGTTCGAGTGAGGGAATTACAGCTATGGAACACATTTCTCTGTCAGCTCTTTAAAAATCATTCATTCATATTTCAAGAGTTTTAGGATTTGTGTGTGATTAAAGTTTGGACTGGAAAGTGTGGCTTCAGGCAGAGGCCAGTAACAGGGTAAAGTGTGGTGAAGGGGTGCTTGGCAAGCTCCAAGATTCTCCAAAGGGAGTAAGGGGAAGGAGAGTTTTGGTTGGCTATTAGGCATAGGTGCTTACTAATAACAGTAGGAATCCAGTTAAATTCTGTGTGTCAGTGTTATGTATCCCTGTATTCTAAGCCAGAATTACTTCCTAGGTAGCTAGTAAAATACTCGATAGTTGCGGGGGGAGTGCTTACAAGGATTTCATCTGGATATTTTTAAATGGCTGAGTACATCTTCCTTTGTTCTTAGGGTTTCTTTCGGAGAAGCATTCAGCAAAACATTCAGTACAAGAAGTGCCTGAAGAATGAAAACTGTTCTATAATGAGAATGAATAGAAACAGATGTCAGCAGTGTCGCTTCAAAAAGTGTCTGTCTGTTGGAATGTCAAGAGATGGTATGTTCCCACTGTAAGGAGTACTCTTCTTAAAACATATGGAACTAGGCTTTTATTCCAGACCTATAGGCAACTTAACCAGTGGCCTTCTTGTGCTTAGAGTGAAGTGTATTTTAGAAAACACATTTTGATGCCTTGTAAAATGCTAAATTCTTTAAAGTTAAATATTAGTGTTATCACCCTGGAAAACAGCTTTTGGCTCTCTTTGGGACTTCTTGTAACCCCCCCCCCCTTTTATAATAATAAAAAATTTTTTTTCTAAAAAAAAAAAATTCATTTTCTCTCTCTCTCTCTTTTTTTTTTTTTTTGAGAGAGAGAGAAAGAGAATCTCAAGCAGGTTCCATGCCCATTGTGGAGCCCAACACAGAGTTTGATCCCATGACCCGCAGATCACGACCTGAGCTGAAGTCAAGAGTTGGAGGCTTAACTGAACCACCCAGGCACCCCTCATTTTTTTTTTTTCTTTCTTTTTCAATATAGGAATCCTTGGCTCTTTCTCCTTGATTTCTTAGCATTTCTGAGGAATCCATTTCTCCTATATGAATTACCTCTGTGACTTTGTTAGCACTGAGACAGTAATGTGCTTTTAGGGCATAGGTTCTGAATACATTGAAAGGAGATACAAAACTGAAAGGAACAGTAGGGTCTGGGGTGGAGGTGATTGCTAAATTCTGGCATGATCCATTCCCATAAAAAATAAAAGTTAATTTGTGGGACTATTAGTTTTTTCTGTGGATGACATCACTGGAACATTTGACTCTTCTATTATGCTTACGAAAATCACTTTTGGATGGTCTCATTCAGTTCTAAGTAACATTACAGAAGAGTATGAGGTTTTCAGAGGGATTAGTTTAGTAGGATTAATTAAGAATTGCTAAGAATGAACCTGATATTTATCTAGGGAAGCATCACTTAAGCAGTCCCTTAAGTTACTCTAAATATATTACACAAATACTGTTTGTAATAGAGCTTCTTGAGTAATGGATTTCAGCAGTTGATGTTTTGGATTTCATTTGCCTGAACATTTTTTTTATATTACTGGAAATACTGATCCAAAATTGGTGGATATTGTGATTTCCCCAAAAGAACAGAAATGGCAATCATTTGTGAAGGAGGGAGTAGAGGTAGAGTGAAACATGATAAAATTGTCCATGATAGCAATAATGTCACAGGCTACAATTAGATTAGTAAGGAGTTCTTGCTGGGTGGGTATATTGAATATTTATTATCTCTGTATGAATTTTAGACTAGAAAGCTTTTCTTTTCTGTCCCTCAGGGATAGGAATGTTGGAGACAGAACACATCTAAAACTTGACCTCTAAAATAATGGAAGATGAATGATTTAATTTTTGTTTCATTGATTTTAATTAAAATCCAGCAAATTTTCCAAAAACTGCATTTCTATTGGCTGTGTTTTTTTTTTTTATTAAAATTTTTTTTTAAAAGATTTTCTCTTTTAAAAAAGCTGGAAAAGGAGAGAGCAAATCCTTTTTTTTTTTTTTTAAAGATTATTTATTTATTTGGGAGAGAGAGAGCGAGAGCGAGAGAGGGAACACAAGCAGGGGGAGTGGGAGAAGGAGAAGCAGGCCTCCCGCTGAGCAGGGAGCCTGATGTGGGGATCCTGATGTGGGGATCCCAGAACTCTGGGATCACGACTTGAGCTGAAGGCAGATGCTTAATTACTGAGCCACTCAGGCTCCCCAAGAGCAGATCATTTAATAGTTGGGTCTTGAGAAAAGGGTTACAAAAATGAATTGACAAAGGTTAGATGTTCAGGGACTACTTGTACCTACTAGGTTCCATTAACATTAATGGCTGGGGGTGGCTGAATCCCATTTGCCTTCTTAAGAACACAACCTTCAGCCTTGTTAATAGGTGCTGTGTAGTAATGCCGATCTGCTTCAAACTGTGATTTTTATTAGTTAATTTCAAATTTTTAAAGTTTTGCTCCTAAAAACCCAAGACATAGATCTTCTCTTAGTTCTTTTTTGGAAGAAAAATGAAAATTTTTTTCCTTTCCACTTCCTCTGGTAACATTAAAAATATAACCAGCAAATTTAGAATAATTTGGGCCAGAAACATGCAGATATTTTTTATTTGTATCACTAGAGGCCGTAGCTAACAGAGATAATTTGGTGCTATTCGTTTTTATGAACAGGTCTTATTTAGAGTATAGACGTTAAATATTTTTTTCTTTAATAGCTGTTCGGTTTGGTCGTATTCCTAAGCGTGAAAAACAGAGGATGCTAATTGAAATGCAGAGTGCAATGAAGACTATGATGAACAGCCAGTTCAGTGGTCATTTGCAGAATGACACTTTGGAACATCATGAACAGACAGCCTTACCAGCCCAGGAACAGCTGCGACCGAAGCCCCAGCTGGAACAGGAAAACATCAAAAGCTCTTCTCCCTCTTCTGATTTTGCAAAGGATGAAGTGATTGGCATGGTGACCAGGGCGCACAAGGATACCTTTATGTATAATCAGGAGCAGCGAGAAAACTCAGCAGAGACCATGCAGCCTCAGAGAGAACGGATTCCCAAGGGCATGGAGCAATATAATTTAAATCATGACCATTGTGGCAGTGGGCTTAGCAGCCATTTTCCATGTAGTGAGAGCCAGCAGCACCTCAATGGACAGTACAAAGGGAGGAACATAATGCATTACCCAAATGGGCATGCCATTTGTATTGCAAATGGACATTGTATGAACTTCTCCAATGTTTATACTCAACGAGTATGTGATAGAGTTTCGATAGATGGATTTTCTCAGAATGAGAACAAGAATAGTTACCTGTGCAACACTGGAGGGAGAATGCATCTGGTATAGTGAAATCAATTTTTTTACTCAACTTGCATCAAGGAAAGCTTTTGAAGGTTTTATTTTATTTGTGGGGAGTATACAAACTTCAGGGGCAGGGGTGGTATCAGAAGACTTGAGACTTACAGAATCAGTATTGTGTGATATTTTAGGTCAAATACTTAAAACATCATTTGTTGATTGACCCAATTTCACACAGAACTAGGTATAAGCATGCGATTTGATTGATACTATGATTGGGATTAAGATTTTAAATAAAATATGGATCATGTAGAATTGATCCTTTAATTCTTAGAAATCCCTTTTAAAATTTAAGATTCTGATTAATCACTATCTTACTAGCTTTGGGATTTTCTCAAAGGGCTGATCATTTAGCTTGCCACAGTTAGTAATCCTTTAATTTCTATGGAGAGGGTTCTTTAACCATTATAATACAAAAAGGTCTTTGAATATAGAGCATGGTTAGGTGTTTTACTGTTTGAGAATTTTAGAAATAATTTAATACACTAGTTTCTAAGGATTTTCTCAGTCTTGGTCTTATGAGATGAGTTAATGTTATTCATATTACTCAAGGTTTTTTTTTTTTTTAATCAAATACAAAAATCTACATGAAAGTACAGTGTTTATATTCAGCCAAATTTTCATCAAAAACAGCAGTACCACACCATTTCCAGTGTAAACCATGAGGTCCTTTGATAGTGCTTGGTATTTTCTACAGCCAGGTAATTAAAGTCTTCCCTTTTTTTCATTTTCAAAATAGCTGAGACTACTCCAGTTCTTTTGTTAGATTTTTCTTTTCACTTGCAAGTATTTGATTCTGTGGGTCTGAAAGGTGATCTTATATCATATTAGACTTAATGGCTACCTTAAGGAGGGAAAAATTTACAAGCATTTAGGTTCTAATTTTGTGATATTCTCCATGGTTATAGAATCATCCCGTTCCTGCATCTCCTATGGATTTAGTGAAAATTTAAAGGCTGATTTTACTAACAGAGTACACAGTGAATGTTCATAATCTTTCTAGCCTTCTTATACCTTGTTTGGCTTCCTAGTTTTTCCTCACCAATCCTTATACAGAAGGTGCCCCCTTGTATCTCCCATCATTATTCTCTAATTGAACAAGTGGAAGTCAGTGGTCACAGCACTGTTTATGAAATAAATGGTCAATGGCCTTTTTAGAAAAGTGAGGCATCTCACTATCTTTCTTTCTTTGAAATTATAATACTGTAATTGTGCCGTTTGGAAAAAAGTGAGTTTTGACATATTAACTAAATATTGGGTTCTAGGCCTGTGACTTCTAGCTATATTTAGAGAAATTAACTAAACTTCTTAGAATCTCATTTCCTCTAAGAAATAGTAATTATAATATCTGCCATGACTAATGAATAGGACTGATAATAAAGTATATATGAATTTGTTTGAAAATCATAAAACCAGCATAAGGTGGCTGCAGTACTAAAAAATAAACTCTTAAACTCAGGTTTTTGAAATAGCTTAGGCTGCCTCTTTTGTGATGCACTAATTGCTGTTCAGAGTAGGTTGCCATGAGGCTTTCTAACATGAGGCAAGTAGAAGAGGAGAAAGTATTATTATTAGTAGATTTTACCTGTGTGTGAGAGTTATTTTCACATTGGGGTGTCCAATGATTTGAGATGCCACTTTCGAAGTTTCTTTACCATCTCTCATAATTTAATAGTTTTTCTGTTTTGTGCATGCTAGGTTTGTCCAATGAGTAAGTCTCCATATGTGGATCCTCATAAATCTGGGCATGAAATCTGGGAAGAATTTTCAATGAGCTTCACCCCAGCAGTGAAAGAAGTGGTGGAATTTGCAAAGCGTATTCCTGGATTCAGAGATCTCTCTCAGCATGACCAGGTCAACCTTTTGAAGGCTGGGACTTTCGAGGTAGGTTTTATTTATCTAGAATATCAATGCACGGTGTGTGTAGTATTTTATTTTCATTCTTTTCTAAATGAGTACTTACAGTCCAGAGGCTAAAATTACAAAAGCAAAAGAATAACCATATCAGAATCTTGGGAAGAGATGTGACAAATCCAGAGTTTCTTAGGGCTTGAAATACAACTGCTCTGTATCCTCAGTGTACAGATTTCCTCCAGGTTGTAGTATTACTTCCAGGTATGGACTGCAGGCAGGGTCTGCAGGGCGTTCGACACCCACTGAAATCCTAGCCTGGTGTTCTAGTACAGAGTACAAAGGGTAAATAGAATGTGGTTTTTCTCTTTTAGGAGATTGTAGAATGTTTCAGGGTTATGTGAGATGTGTCTTCTCTGTTATCGTGGACTTTCTTGGCCTCATCTCATCCGGAATCCTTGCTACCTTTTCTTCTCTGGCTTCCCTTGCTGTGATGTATTCTGCCTGGACTTAGGGGACAGCCGCTGTTGCCAACTTGAGTAGGACACAGGGGCGTCTTTCTGTGCTGTGTTAGATGCCTCCCACCTATGGCTTCTAGGTGCTGCTGAAGTGTGAGGAGCCTCAGGACTTGCTCAGAGCTCACTTAAATATTATTCTGAAACGCAGGGTGGTGGGTGGAACGTTGGTGTCTGGTGGGCCACTTCTTTGATCCATGGGGGACGGGATCTGGGGAATATATTTTCATTTTCCCCTGCTTTTCCACAGACTGAGCTCTCAGTTGTTAATGATACTGAGTGGCAGCCTGCTCAGTAATGCATCCTCTGGTATTTGCTGATAATTGCTGTCATCCCTGTCATCTCATTTCCTTTTTCCTCAAACCTGTTTTCATGTATGGTAGTGCACATTCCGTGTAAACTTTGGCCTAATGCTCTGTTTTTAGGAGCACCTGGCCCAGAATGGAAAAGGAGCCATGTTCATAAATAAAATAGCTGTGGTATTATTTAGAAGTAAAACTGTTAGGTTAGGAATTTCAAGGTAAAGGAAAACATTAGAGTTAAGATTTAAACTCTGAATCTTAGAGGGGTGTCAGTGATTAAGTTCAGTTCATTCATTTTTTGAGGTTAAGTAATTGTGGCCCACAGAGGTGGAGAGATTTTTCTGAAATTACTAATACATTTCTAACACAGCACCATAACACAAATCCCAGACTCCGGGACTTGTGTTCTTTCCACCTTGTGATATGACTTGGGATTGCTGTGTTCTAGTTAGTGCCATAGAATACTCTCTTTTGGATTGTCTTGAGTAAAACAAGTATTTGGGAAAATTGCAAAGGGGAGCTATTAACAAATAGTATTCCTCTGGTTATGAAAGAAATATGTGACATAGATGTTACCATTTACTATAGGGGAGGGAGTGCCATAGATAAGCGGTTGCTGATTTGGTTTGGATTTGAATTACAACTTGGTGTCTGGAACACTTTTGCTGTAATAGTTTTCTTTGTGTATTGTCTCTTTGGGTTATGGTTTCTTAAAATAGTCTAATTAGAGTTTATCCGTGCGTTTGTCTTGGCTATATTTGGTGTTTTGATGTCTCTAAGTGTTGTTGCATTGAAATACTGCTCTTTTTACTTAGGATTTAGAGACCATGTTATATCCTTGGTAGCTTAAAGAGTTTCTTTAAAGCCTTTGGCCAAGGCCCAGTTTCATATTTCTTGACATTATTGCCTGCTTTAATTTTATATTTGCATTTCAGAATCTTTATTAATAGAGTTTCAGAATATCACAGGACTCAAGTATTTTTGCCACTAGTGGCTGGAATTTTTTTGATGTTCACTCCACAGATATTTATTGCTTTGGTAGAGAATTTGCCTTAAGGAAATGGTTCTGGGTAAAAATAAACTCAGTTTTTCTTTTACGACTTTCTTTTATATGTAGGATGTTTCTTAACTGGCTTGAATACTGAATTATTTCTTAGTATTAGTACTGAACTCTTTCAAATACATTTTTCTTTTTCCAGGTTTTAATGGTACGGTTTGCATCATTGTTTGATGCAAAGGAGCGTACGGTCACCTTTTTAAGTGGGAAGAAATACAGTGTTGATGATTTACACTCAATGGGAGCAGGGGATCTGCTAAACTCTATGTTTGAATTTAGTGAGAAGCTAAATGCCCTCCAACTTAGTGATGAAGAGATGAGTTTGTTTACAGCTGTTGTCCTGGTATCTGCAGGTAAGCATGCTGGTGCAAAATTGTGCTACATCCAGAATATAAGTAACCAAGTGGAAAGAAGGTGGAACTATGTTCCAGCAAGCTATCTATAAGGCAAGAGAGCCTGATGCACATGCTAAACTGTATGAATAATCTGTTGTTTTTGGGAAATCAGATAGCAGAAATTCAAAAGTGCTGTATGATAATAAAATGATGTTTAGATATAGGCCTCAAATTGACAACAAGTCTCAGTCTTTAACTTTTGCCTGTAATTTTTACAACTCTAAATTGTTGCTTTTGTGGATTTAACTTTGGGTACATAGGTGGTTCTGATACGAATTTAAGTTTTAATTAAAATGTGTATTACTTGAAAATGTTAAAATTATCAAGGTACATTAGTGTGGTCTGTTCCAAAACTTGGTGAATTACGAGTAGGCTTTTACCTAGCTTTGCCCTGAATTTTCTATGTGATTTGCATAAATAATTCTATTCTTTTGGGTCTCAGTTTCCTTGTGGAAGGAAAGGATTGTACCATGTGAGCCAACCTGGGGTCTGGCACAGAATAGGTACTTAGTTTCTGTTTGAATGAGTGACCAAGATTTTTGAGTCCTAACACTAATGTTTATTTATATGAGTCACTGATGATGTTGTCCAGTTTCCCTGCCACCTTGCATTTATATTATATTATTTCTGACCAAAGTATTTCAATTTAGATAATAGCTATTAAGATAATAGCAAATGGGAAATTGATACACAGTGACTTTCCTGGGGATATATAAGTAAGTAACAGCCATTTTTAGATATCACTAACTTTATTTTAAAACATTGAGAATTGTACAGTATTTTGATATGACTTACTTCAAGTTTCATATTTCCTTCCTACTGTGTAAAAGCCATTGTACCAGGTGCTGTGGGGGTTATAAAGTATAAGTTATAGCTCCTGCTTATGTGGTAAACTGTTAATCAGTAACTCCTAATGAGGTTAGGTTCTTTGTATATCTTAAAGGGCCTGTACATTAGTGGTGTAAATAAGAGTTATGTAAATAGCTCTATATGTAAATAAGGGTGTAAATAAAGAGTTCTGTCATTTGGAAGCATAATTTAGCTACCTGTTCTGATCAGCTCTACCTAGGTGGCTAAAAATGCACTTACGATATGGAATAGTATTACAGTAATAGGTTAATAAGAGATAACTTATTTTCTTACAAGTAACCTTGTAGTTAATGCTTCTTGCACTTCACCTACCATTTTGCAGTCTCTTGATAAGTAATAATGGTTTGAGTTGACATCAGATTAATAAATGTGTTGTGAAACTAAAGGTAATCCATACTTTGTAATTTCTTTATCTGATCAATATGTGCACAGGGGAGACAGAACAAGCACTAAGACACACGCTTACTCTCCAAGCATCTATGTTTTATTTGGAGAGAAAGAACTAACACAAAAAGCTTTATGGTATTAAGCTGTGTGGTTCTGACTGAGGAAGTAGGGGTTCTAGGAAGGAAGATGAAGTTACCTGAGAAAGCTTTGTGGGGAAGATGGAAGTACAGCTGGAATTTGAAGGATGGGTTAGTAGATTTTCCTATCAAAACAGTGATGAAGCGGCTTTGGAGAACATGAGGTAAGGCAGGGGCAGGTGGCCAAAGCCGTATGTGTACATCAAGGAGGAAAGGGATGGAAGGCTTGGGAGTTAAAGGGACATTGGATTATGGAATGACCATAAGGAGAACTAAGCAGAGAAGTTTTAACTGAAATAATGGGGCAGTGGAAAGTCAGTGTAGGAGAATGATGAGGCATGGACAGAGTCATGGTTTGACATTAGTTCTGCATGTTTATCTTGGGTAGATTAGACAAGTGAGTCATTGGAGCTGGAGGGTCAGGTTGAGAGGCTGTTGAAATAACTTCAGGTAGGAGACAGTAGAGTGAACTCTCCTGAGATAGGTGTAGTAGAGGAGGTGGAGCAGGAGGGACTGTCTCAGAGATGGTAGAAAGGAAGAAACAGTGGCAGGAGATAAACAGGAGCTCTCTACCAGGAAATATGCCATTTACTTACATTTTCTACCAAGTGAACATAATTTTTATTTTGTTTTAATCTCCTTTTGAAAAAGCCTTGTTTTGTTTATTGGTCATAACAATAATATGGGTTCTTTGCAAAAGTAGAAAATACTAAGATGAACATAAAGATGATAATATTGCTACCAAAAAAGATCACTGTCAACATTAGGGAGTCTTTCTCTGTCTGTACACCTGTCCATCCATGTACCATTTGCTTGCTTATTATGGTACATTAAAAAAATATGTGACATACCGAGTGGAAAAGACTGATAACAAAAGAATGTAATGCATTCTTATTTTTGTTCTGTCTAAATGAAGGTACACAAGCAACACATACACAGACACAATTTCATGCATTTTAAAATAATTTGCTTTCACTTAAACATATGATAGTGTTGATGTCTAACTTAAATCTTTACCACAAAGAAAGGACTATTGTTATTTTTTTTTAAATTTTATTTTTTTATTTTTTGTTTTTTATTTATTTTTTATTTTTATTTTTTATAAACATATAATATATTTTTATCCCCAGGGGTACAGGTCTGTGAATCGCCAGGTTTACACATTTCACAGCACTCACCTTAGCACATACCCTCCCCAATGTCCATAACCCCACCCCATCCCTCCCAACCCCCCTCCCCCCAGCGACCCTCAGTTTGTTTTGTGAGATTACGAGTCACTTATAGTTTGTCTCCCTCCCAATCCCATCTTGTTTCATTTATTCTTCTCTACCCCCTTAACCCCCCATGTTGCATCTCTACTTCCTCGTATCAGGGAGATCATATGATAGTTGTCTTTCTCCGATTGACTTACTTCACTAAGCATGATACCCTCTAGTTCCATCCACGTCGTCGCAAATGGCAAGATTTCATTTCTTTTGATGGCTGCAGACTATCATTATTATTTTTTTAATTCATTTTTAAGATTTTATTTATTTTTTTGATAGAGAAAGATCACAGGTAGGCAAAGAGGCAGGCAGAGAGAGGAGGAAGCAGGCTCCCTGCTGAGCAGAGAGCCCGATGCGGGACTCAATCCCAGGACCCTGAGATCAAGACCTGAGCTGAAGGCAGAGGCTTTAACCCACTGAGCCACCCAGGCGCCTGACTATTGTTATTTTTAAAGCAGTATTTATACAAGAAAATAAAATTCAGAAACTACAGAAGATAAGTCTCTCCTTTTTTCTCCCAGCCTACTCTCCAGAGAACTAGAATTCTGTCTTTCTTCTTAATTGTTCTGGGAGTTGCCCACTCAATTCTAAATATTGTGCTTATAGCTTTTTTTTTTTTTATTGAGTAGATACAACTGACAAAAGTGTCTTCTCCTTATAAGTTTTATTTTTACAGTTACTTTGTTTTATATAAAATTATAATATGCTCACATTCTTTTACCATTCACTTTTACATAATCTCTCAGATAGAATATAGATAGAATCTTCTCCTTAGGGAGACAATATCATCATCCTTCCATATCCTGGCTTCTTTTGCTATACCTTTTTTTTTTTTTTAACATTATCAAGAATGAAAATATTTATATTCTGTTCTATAGGTGTGATTAGTTTCCATGCTTTATCAGATGACTTTAAATATTGAAAAGTAAAAAAACTACATTTATAGTATTAGGATTATATAAATAGTACCCACAGTGTTCACACAGCGGGGTTAAATTGGTAGATGAGGCAATACAAATTTTAAGATTTTATTTATTTGAGAGAGAGACAGCATGAGCATGGGGAGTGGCAGAGGGAGAGTGAGAGAGACAAGCAGACTTCCTGCTGAGTGAGGAGCCTTACAGTGCTGAAGTCAAACACCTAACTGACTGAGCCATCAAGGGGTCCCAAGGCAATATAAATCTTGCCCTAAACCTGTTGCCTCCCAAGGGGGGAATGTTCTAAGTATCAAATAACAAATGGATCATTTATATTCTCTATTAATTGTTTAGAATTTGCTTTATATTTAAAATAGCTTTTTGTTTTTCTTAGAATCTACAGTTGCCATCTGGGTTTTGTTTTGGTTGTTGTCAGATAAAGTGCTAGTTTCTAGATCTCATTATATAATTTTATCCTTACAGCAGACCTCTGATGTGAGCTAGGATATGTTATTTTCAAATATAGGCAAGAAATTTGAGGAACAGAAGGGTTAAGTTGTCCAAGGTCGTGCGTGCATGCATGCATGCATGTATTTATTTATTTATTTATTTATTTGAAACAGAGAGAGAGAGATCACAAGTATGCAGAGAGGCAGGCATAGAGAGAGAGAGAGAGGAGAAAGCAGGCTCCCCGCTGAGCAGAGAGCCCGATGCGGGCCTCGATCCCAGGACCCTGAGATCATGACCTGAGCCGAAGGCAGAGGCTTAATCCACTGAGCCACCCAGGCGCCCCCAAGGTCGTGCATTTTAAAAAATTGGCTGAGCATGCATTTGGACTACTGTTGGCCTAGCTTCAAAGCCTTTCTGTTATACTGCTTGTTAACAGAATAATTCTAGCTGCTAAGAGAGAGAGAAATCTAAACCATGATGTTTGCCTGTGGTGTTAGAAGACTGTTGATGCCATGGAGAAAAAGGGAATTATACCTGGAAGGTAAATTGTTCTTGAGATTGTGTGAAGTGGCAGCAGTCACTTGCAGTTGAAGATGAGGGATGGATGGGCATATAGGTGTGAGAACAATCTGAATGTGGATTTTAGTTGTCCCCATAGAGGTTTTTGTGGAAGGAATTTGACTTTCATCTTGTAGGAAGTGATTATACACAGAAGATTTTGGTGAGATTTGGTGTTGAGCAATGAAGAACCTCTCTGAGTTTAAGGAAGTAGAGGACAGGTATATCGTGAATTAAACTATACTGTAAACTATGAGGTAGGTAGTGTAGCATTTAGTACATCATTTAGAAAATCAATTTTTATTTCAATCTGTACATTGTATTGTTTTAATTTCTAGAGGATTATTGTTTATGATCCAGCTAGATTTGTAGGTAGGTTATTTGGCCTTGAAATCATGAAATCATGGTTTTAGAAATGCAATTTTAGAAAGACTTAATGCAGTTCACATTTTTAGGTGTAGGAATCCATTTTCTTGAAGTTCTGAGTTGTAAGGAGGAAGCATAGGTCTTTCCAACAGAGTATTCACTGAAAGACTCATAATATTAGTTCTAACTCAAGTACCCTTCTCTGCCTATCTAGATTATTTTGTTTGTAGGGCTCACAGTCATTCTTTTCCCAGTTGTTGGTATTGTAAATTACTGATGATGTGATGCAAACTAGGTATTTTTTTCTGCTCTAAGAGGTCTCTCAGGGAAAGAATTTTGGTTTGTTAGACGTTGACTGCTAATTCCCTAAGCACCTATCCCAGTAGCCATATACATTCAGTAAGTACTTGGTGAGGGAATTAATAAGTTGCAAGGATATTGAAGAAAACAATTACTTGAATATTAAAGGCAGGAGAGACACTTGGAAGCATCATTGAAGGCTTTATGTAGTTTTATATGGCCATTATGATTGTATGATCAAAGTTGTATGTTAAGAGGTCTTTTCTCCATGTAACAGTTTTGTCTGAAAACATATGACTCCCCCAAACCAGTAGTCAGCATTCAAATTGTTTCTTTTTTCATAATAATTAGCACATAGTTCAGTAATAATCCACACTTTATTAAATGTAAGATAAACCTGTTTTCATCATTTTTTTCTGCATTTAGAGTTAATCAGACTTCCCCCTTGACTATGAAATTTTAGTCTTTGCATTGCAAGTGGCCTTTTTAGCTACCAGCTACAATGCAGAGCCTTGTGAAATATCCTTGTGAACAATGAATAAAAAAGGTGTGAATGGCCAGAGATTTTTGCTTCCTTGGCAGTATCTTTCTTAGTAATTTAAACTCCCTATACTGGGAGCCATTGAGTATTTCTTAGGCTCTACTGCCTCCTATTGTAAAGGGAAGAAATAGTCCTTGATGTTGACTAAAAAAAAAAAGTCCATGGGTAAACAGTATAGATTTTGCTAATTTTAAGATACTTTGCTTTATTGTTGGATTATACTAAATCACTAGTTTATTAACATTTTGTATGATGAGCTTAATAAACACAATATGCTAAATGGAAGTGAATGCAGGTTAATGTAACTAGGTAATAAAGGTACACAGTATATTAGTTACCTGTTTACTGCGTAACAAATTACCTTAAAACTTAGTGGCTTGAAAAGATGTACATTTATTATCTCACAGTTTCTGAGGATTAGGAATATGGGTATGGCTTAGATGGGTGCCTCTGGCTTGAGGTTTCTTGGGGAGATTGTAGTCAAACTGTGAGTAGGGCTGTGGTTGACTATGAAGGCTCAACTAGGGAAGGATCTGCTTCTAGGATTATTCATATGGTTGTGGCAGGAGTCCTTTCCTTGCAAGATGTTGGGCTGAGTGCCTCAGTTCTTTGCTGGATGCTGGTCAGAGACCTCTCTCAGTTCCTTAGCATAAGGGCTACCTCTTAGGCAGCTCACAACATGGCACTTGGCATCTGGCTTTCTCAGAGGAGGTGAGTAAGAGTATGCTGAAGATGGAAGCTTTTTTTTTTTTTTTTTTGGTAGTATTTTATTCATCAGTAGTGAGTCAGTAAGTCTAGTATACTGAAGGGGAGAGGGATACACAAGGGTGTGGATACCAGGATAAGGGGGCGATTTTAGAGGTTGCCTGCTATACGTGGTAAAATACAAATGTGGATATATTCCGTATGAAGAAAAAAATATATTTGTAAACTACACTATTTTATTTTGACAGGAGCAGTTGAAATTAGTAGATGGCATCTGATTTTAAAAATTAGAACCTCTAGTTTTGTGAACAAAATACTAAATACCAAATTTTGATTTATCAAGTATACTGTGTAATGTATCTCTTTATAATACAATAAATAGGTACAGAAGTTTGCCATTGGGATTTAAATGTTGACAACTGTCTTTTGCCTTTATTCCAATGTATAAAACCTTGTTGTAGACTCAATGAGATTGATGAGCAAGAATTTTATTTATATTTAATGTTTTCTCTTAATTGGTATTTATATTTAATGTTTATAACGTCCTCTTATTCAGATCTGTCTATTCCTTACTCTCTGTTAGATCGATCTGGAATAGAAAACGTCAACTCTGTGGAGGCTTTGCAGGAAACTCTCATCCGCGCACTAAGGACCTTAATAATGAAAAACCATCCAAACGAGGCCTCTATTTTTACAAAACTTCTTCTAAAGTTGCCAGATCTTCGATCTTTAAACAACATGCACTCTGAGGAGCTCTTGGCCTTTAAAGTTCACCCCTAAGGCCTTTGTTTATTTAAACACGAACTGATTCATGCTAACTGTACATTTTGTGCTAAAATGCTTATTTATATGTGTATACCATATGTGGAGATAGAAAAGACCTTTAAGACAATACAAGATTGTAGGCTATCTCTGTAATTATGCAGTAGCTGTTTGGATTGAGGTTTCTTCAGCCATGGTTAGACATTGACCGCATTTCCCCTATAGACCAATCAGCTGTGTCGCACTTAACTGGAGAAGTTAAACTGAATTATAGTTACACTGAATGTTAGACTTTTTCATCTGCCAAAACCAAAAATCATTTTGATCTCCCTGTGGTATAAATATAATGCACAATCACAAGTACATGAAGACTTAAAAATTAATCCTTTGTGGTAGAAATGCTGTTGTATGATGAAGACTTGATTTCACCACAAGACCGTTTGATCTGGTAATTGGAGACATTGCAAATTAGGAGATCTTAATATCTGTAATTTGTTCTGCCACTTATTAAACTGTACGATCCTGGGCAGGTTAGTTGGTTGTGGAAAATGAAAATTGATAGTGTTCTTAATGCCCCACCTCACAGATACTAAAAATTGTCTATAAAGCATATTTACCTCTTGGGAGATAGGCACTATGTAAATAAGATAAATTTTTTGTTATTATAATTATTCATAATAATATTCTTTCCTTATTTCTAAGTATTTCTGAGAAATCATTTCACAGTCCACACCAACCTATTATTCAGGGTTCCTGCATATGTGTGGGGTATCCTCCTGGCACACATATATTCAAAGTTTATGGGTACATCAAATACATAGTATGTGTACATAATATCTGTGTGAATATAGTTATACATAAACACATTTCTTCACAATATTTTAAACTGTGGAGAACTTTTATCATACAATAAACTTAAAACAAGTGGTGTCAAAGACTCAAATTAGGTGCATTTTACCTATTGATATAACCATTGCTTTAAATGTTTAGACAGTATGTTATTGAACTAGGCTCTATTTTTATTTAAGCAGCACTTAATGTAAAAGTACAACAGGCAGTTGAGTCCAAATTTCAAAAAATATGTATTTTGAGTTCATCTTTGGTTAAATCTTTGGTTCAAGGTACTAGTTTTAAAAGTTCATTTAGATTTCTTACCTTGTACTGAAAAAGGTTACATTGCTGCCCCTTATTATACACATGCTGCAGCCTAATGATAAATATTTTGATTCTTTTTGGAGAACCAATCAATGTTTTAAGAAAATGTGTTGGCCCCACGTGCATATGTGTGCATGTGTGTATGCGTTTGTGTGCAAGTGTGTTTTGAGTCCACTTTTTTTTTCCTAGATAACACTACAGGGATTTTGTCAAATTAGATTTACTCTATAATTTGAAAAATCATTTAGTGTGTGTGACCTACAGGCTTAGAAGTGGTACAGAGACATTTCCTCCACATATCTAATATTGGGCTTTATTAAATAGAGAAAATCAGCCTCTATTTATGGCTGTGGGAGAAATAACCAAAGTTGAGGATTTTATGTATGTTTTTCTGTTTCCCTGGAAAAACAGCAGTTAATTGGAATTTTTTTGAAAAGATTGCCTTCTGTATAATTTTTGGATTATATAAAACTGTAAAAATGGAAAGAGCCTGCTTTACTATACTCAGCCTGTTACTTTAATGATACATGAGCAGAATGCCTTATTTTGTAATCTTGTTTAACTTGTTGCTACTGGGACTTGAATTTCTGTGGCACTTGTTAAGTAAGTCAAAAAAAGAAGTTAAATCCTCTCATTATTAAAGAGGAAAGGTGATGGTGATGTCTGTAATACATTATAAACCATAATTGTGATTTACCTTACATAGGTAAGACTTTTATGGGATATACAGTATAGTTTTTGTGAATTCTTTACATGATAGCATTAACTTTTTATAATTTTTTTTCCTAAGATAAATGCATAGTTTTCTTCTATGGGGGATAGAAATGGCTTTTTGAAGTAATCCTGAAAACCTCAAAGATCATGTTTGTTCTTAGTTTTTGCCTTTTGCCTAAGCCTCTTTATGTTATCTTTAAAACAGTTACTGTCTTAGGAGTGTATAACCAGAACTATGTTAGTATTGCTTATACAACTTTAGTTAGGTTCAATATATACATGTATACATCTATATATAGATATGTAGGGTTGCATTTTGTCTTGTAAAATTTTATTTGAACAATTCTTCCTGTAGGTAATGGGAAACAAAATTAATAGTTCATATGCCACTTGTAGCATCTCTATATTTGAAAATAGCCCAATATTAAAACTACTAAAATTAAACCAGCAGCCTATTATAAGCACATTCTTTGATTGAGTCATTGGGTATAAACTTACTAAATGTGGAGAAGACAACCAGTTTGGGAAACTTCTGGGTCAGTGGGACACTGTTGATTAATTGATAATGTACTGTATGAATTAAGTGATGCTTTAACTCTGATTTTACATTTTAAGTTAAAATATGGGCATTATGTCAGCAAACTTAAGGGCATTATGTCAGCAAGCTAAAACATTTTTTTCCTGTGCTTTTAATGTATCTCTACATGATCTGAGAGAGGATTCAAGCTTTAGACAGAAATAGCTGAGGGAAAGGGGAAGCATCTTCTTGAGTTGAAGCTTTTCCTTAGGGTGATGCTTTAATTACAGATTAAAAAAAAATTAGAAGGCAATTTCAGTGGATTAAGTGTATAGCTTTTGTATCTACATTTCAAGAAATTACCATTGTAACTTGATAAGAAATGATTTATTTTATGTAAACATCATTGCAAAGCAAGGTTTAGAAGCTCAGCTAGATTTATTACTGTGCACGAGAGTAAGTACCTATCTCAATTATTCTTTTTCTTTTCCAATATAAAGTTTGCTGAATGTACAAGAAGAGTTTATCACTTAGGATATAGAATTTTTTTTAGGGGTTGGGGGGGATGGGATCTGTCAGGAAATTGCCTATAAACAAAGATTGTCTTGATTTGATTCAAAACATAAAACTTGAAGCTATTCTTGAACTAATGTGGAAAAATAAAATGGCTATTGTTTTAAAAAAGTGATAGAAATATATTGTCAAGATATGAATTAAGTTTATTTTCTACAAACTGTTATTGATGAGGACATGGATAATATCTTCATGTTTCTGAAAAGTAATGTGTACATGGGGGGAGGGGATAATAAATATTATTTCTAACCAAGTGTGTTTTTGGTATATCTTTATCTCGATGTTTTTGTAAGACTCTAATTTAACTTCCTACTTTCCCCTGAGCATAGCAGTACATCTAACCTAAATCTCTGATTCAGCGTGGTGGAACGTATATATGAAGGACTCTTTTGATTTTAGTTTGTTTAGAGAGTCCAGCAAAGGTTGTTGCTATTTTCTGTAATGACAGCTGAATAGTGACTCGCTGTATCTTGTAATCTGTCTTAGAAGGGGATGGTGAGAGAAGAACGGGGTGCTTGATCTAGCCAAGACTGAGCCTTGGCTATAAATGGCATAAAATGTCTCAGCAAGACCACCACCTCCTTTCCCCTTTTCTAGGGGCTGTAGCCATGCCAGCAAAGTTGAGGCCATTACTTCAATCTGCACTTACTACAGTTGTTTCCTAGATCAGTGATACCCATTACTTTTTTTTTTTTTTAAGAATTTATTTATCAGAGAAAGAGGGAGAGTGCACAAGCAGGCAGAGGCAGAGAGAGAAGCAGGCTCCCTGCTGAGCAAGGAGCCTGATGCGGGACTTGATTCTGGAATCATGACCTGAGCGGAAGGCAGCTGCTTAACCGACTGAGCCACCCAGGCATCCCATACCCACTACTTTTCTATGGATGATAATCGATGGTGGGTAGGAGAAATGGGCTCCTTGATCAAATAACTTGGAAATGCTGGGTTAACAAGGTTACTGAGATGTCTTTATGTGAGTCCCATTCTCTAATGAGCAAGTGTGTATTGTGAATTCTTTAAGGAAGTTTTCAGTGGGACATAGTCTTTCTCAAACTTCTGCCAAGTAGCGCCCCCTTCTCCTTTTTTCTGTGTTGAGCACTTCTTGGGACTCCTTGGAAGGTGTGATTTCAGGAGAAAAACATGTTAACCCACTTTGGTTGTTGGTCAGGATACTGATCATATTCTGTGGATTACTCTATAAAATTGTATTTTGTCCCTTTTTTGCACAGTATAATAAACATTGAGCTCTGAATAAATGTAGCTGATGAAAAAGTAGATTAAATTCCTTTTGAATTTTGGAAGTGCTGCATGTGAATGAATACAGTCAATTCATGGATCTGGTTTTAGTTTTACACTCATTTGGGCCTCTTAAAATCTGTCACATTTGCTTTCCTTAATTTGTGGTCTATCTAAAGGTTTAGCACCAACTATGGCCTGTGTTCTAGTAGCCACGTTAGAGTTGCTCTTCACAATGCGAAATTGGTGGAAGAATCCTAAGGACAGTCTCGGAGGAACTCAACCACTCCAGAATGCTTTCTATGGGGGCACGGTCCCAAGAACAGAAACATGGTCTCGAAATTAGCATTTCCCCTACATTGTAATAAAAATTAGTAAGGATGGTGAGACCAGTGTTTTAAAGAAGACTCAAATACCTGGGATGAAAATGATGTTTTCAAATGTTTTTTTCCCCCTCTGTTTTCCTACTGGTAACCACAGAATTGAGAATGATCTTCTGAGAAGTCTCTAAGGTAAGTTCTGTGTTTTTTCTATAGTTTCATTTTTTCTGAATTCTTATCCGTAACCCCAGCAGTTCCCTCCACCCGCCCCCCTCCCCAATACTTTGTTGCTTTGCTTGTAAATTTTCATCTATTTCCCCCCCTACAACAGCCATTTCATTTCCTGTGCAGGTTCTGCAGTAAAATGCAAGTAGGGTAATTTCCAAAGTGGAAAGCACCTACACTTTCATTCTCTCTTGATCGTCTTGCTCCCTACAGTTAGGCTGCTCTCTTTCTAAGCTGTTTTATCTAAAGGACTTTGGAGGAATAAACTGATGGTTTAGTTACTCATTGCACATTTATTGAACATACATGTATGGCTCAAGAATTTCTCTTTTTATCCAAATGCAAATGAGTTTCCTTGAAAATCCAGGGCACTAATCCAGACAGTATTGTGGAAGTTGTGTGCACACGAAGCAAATGGCCACCAATCACAGCATCTTAAGTAGTAATTGCCAGTAAATGCTGTTCTAGTTGTGGTGTGCTGGAGCAGCTTATAAGGTCTCTTGAGGTCTCACTGTTAGACTTCTGGAAATTTATGGAGCTGGTTATTAAAACAGCCATTATTAAAAGTTAAATTACATAAGCTTACATTTGAATTATATTTGAGAAGATAAAACTCACTTCCTAATTACATTTTACTCTTATTTATGCTTTTGAGGCTCAGTACCTTTATTTTTATGGATATGGTGGCAAGACTTTGTAATGGTGTTCCTGCACATCTCTTCTCAACTCCCTAAGTGATGGCCCATTGGTAACTCAAAATTGGCCGCAGTAGAATTATTTATACTATGCAAAGCTGCAAATGCTATGAATCCGGCTTGATTTATTTTGCTGGTTGTCTAGCTTTAAGAAAGTGATGGAGAAATTGTTAATAATACAAATTAAAATTAAAATGTCTCCTGCCTGTAGATATTAAATGTTGCAAATGGAAAATAGACCAAATAGTCAGTATTTGAAAGTCATTATCAGATTCAACAAAGAAGCTGCTCCCATCTTTGGCGAGCAAATCAAGTTCTGGCATAATTTTTTTTCATTTTCATTTCATTTTTATTAATACACTTAAAATAGCAACATTCATGTCAGAACTGTACTTGTTAGTTGCAACTTCAGGAAAAATAAAGGAAGCATTCTGTGAAAATTAATTGGTTACATTGGACTTATAGTAAAGACTTTCTTATAAATTTAGAAATTGTGTGCTATATAGCCTTTCAGTAAAAATAAATACACATTCATAAAGTATTTTTCCTCTCAGAGAAGCAGTAAAATGTTTACCAGCACACCACTATTAGACACTAGAAATAATTCTGTTTTCTAGATATAGGAAACCAAGGTTCAGAGAGTGTAAGTAATTGGCTCCAGGTCACACAGCTACTGAACGGGAGAGTTGACTATAAACCCCAGATGTTTGGGCCAAGAGTTTACTCTCAACTTTTGCATAATAGAGGAGCTCTGGGCTTGGGGTCTCCTTCTTGGCAGAGTGGTTTTAGTAAGTGTACTCTGATTTATACGTACGTAGAGCTCATAAAT